AAAGGTTTGAGTAGGTGACTCAGAAGAATGCAGACAAGGAATTTCAAGTTTGAGAATTTGAGGACAATAAGGAGATTTGGTTCTTTAGGATTCATGGTGTTTGAGGATATTTCAGTTGGATGTTACAGAAATAATTTATGTAAAGGTTTTTGTAGACTTCTGTATGCAAGAAGACAGGAAGTTAGAAATTCAAGTACAACGTTATAGAACGTAATTGCACAGCGTGAAAATTTATGTGAGCTTGCTCTAAAAAGCCAGACATGAGGTGTGCTTTAAATATTATAGTTACGAACAATCTGAAAGGCTCACGTTGCTCACATTACTCACAAGTGAATATATTTTTCCCGCGCACCAGTGTTTCGGTTGAAGGTAGCGAAGAATTGAAGTAAACGGAGTAATATCCTCTCCTCCAAAATTGGAAATATTCAGAGACGTTCAAACTTCGAGTGGAAAGTTGGAGAAATTAATTAAACGGCGTAAAAGTTTGACTGGGACTCGGAATTCTTCCTCGGGTACTCAAAGATCAGTGTCAGAAGCTCTGAAGCGAATACATTTTCCAACAAACCTGAGAGTCTCTGTTGAAGGTTAACACGGGGAAGGATTGATTACTAGAATTACTAACGTTTCTTACTCTAGAGCGTCGATACTTTTCAATTACGTTAAAAATTGACGTCGAAAACTTAAGAAAAATGTCTCGGTAAAAAAGTGAAAGCAAACTAGTAACACTTTTCACGACGAAGAATTAAAGCTGCTCCCCATGAATATATTAAAGAAGGAATGGAAAATAGTTCTAGATTAACAAGCTCGCTGCTACTGACGTTATCCGACGGTTTCGCGTGCTGAGATACATCCAGACTCATCTGGCGTTGTCATGCGTTCCAAGTTTAGTTTGTTAACACCCTCCCCGAGAATGAACACATGTTGTCATTAACTCTCAGACCTGGCGTTCACAATCGAGGACACGAAATTCAAAAATTAACGACACCTTATTTGTCTTTATTTATGCTCGCGAAGAAAAATCACTTTTCCTCGAAAACTAAACTTTACAGAATTTTTTATTTGATTTTTGCTATAGTAATTTCAGTCCAAGTTGTCTCTAGACATTAAATCACATTAGCACGCGAAAAAGAAATAACTGAAATACTAACTGAATACTCTGTCCTCTTCAGAAATCCCAAGTCGACGACGAAGATCACTTTTCCTCGAAAACTACACCTAACAGAATTCTTTATTTTATTTTTTCCATACCAATTTTAGTCCAAGTTGGCTCTAGAAATTAAATCACATTAGCACAAGAAAAAAAAAAAAATAATTCAGGTCCGAAAGCAAGCTAGCCTTTCTTAAACCTAAAGTAAGATTCAATGCAGATTTTACGGTAACTGAATACTCTGTCCTCTGGAGAAATCCCAAGTTGACGACGAAGCCAATTAGCTGCACCGTCATCGATTACAGAGATCGTTGTAATTAGCTAAGTCGATAAGATCTACAGATACCGAGCAGTATAATCTCTAAGAATCTATAGGTAAGGATTTCTGGAGGGAATTAGGAGGAATGAGCTTAAACGGGGCTTGTAGTATCCATCCTCGATGAAGAGATCGTTATTGCGAAGTTATAACGAAGAGGGAACTTGTTACTCCTATCAACGCGCCTCTAACTTGCGTTCGCGAAAAGGTGGTTTCAGTTCTGTGGTATTCAAATCCTACGCGAGGTAACCTAAAAAGCTTCGGTATACTTGGCCGCTCAGCGCGGAACTACACTCAATGACCATAACGTCTTCCGCGTTATACTCCGTGGTGCATTCGTATTAAGCTGCAAAATAACCCGCGAGGAAACTAGAGCTGGTTGGAGTTTCAAGTATCCTCGATTAACTGGTTAACGATGAGGACGACTAATTATTGCGATTATTGCACTAATCGAGCGAGGCTGGGAGAATGATAATTCTGTTTGTTGCTTTTGGACTTAAGATATCATAAGACATAATATAACAATATAGAAGAAGTCGGAGTAATCAGTACCGAAACTCAGATATTAAATAAAATGAATAAGTACAAATTAGTCATAAAACATAATTAACTCGTAAGGCGACATAAGGCTGTGGAAACTAAGTAAATAATTGAGAAAATAATTCAGATCTCTAAGGATTAAGCACACTGGTTAAAGAGTACCAACTCCCTAGGATAACTCCTTACTCCTAGGACTAAAGAAGCCACAAAGTCCTCTGAATTCCCAAAACCCTATGAACACGCACTCCCAACTGACCCAATTCTCCACAGTCCCAATTCCCCACTATACCGTGATCGGGATGCGATTAGTCCCAAATGCAGAGGTTCGAACCTGCGAAGTTTCCCGTCGGTGAAGGCTTTCGAGCCCGCCGTGGGGCGTGTAGTATCGTCGAGTATGTTTCACAGAAGGCGAAATTCCTCTCGCAAAAACACGTCTGACGATCGGAAAGAATTGGAGTGGATACGGTGTGGTTTTTACAGGAACGGATACGTCGGGGAACGCACACGCCGCCGCGGAAAACACCCGTGTATTGAATGCATACTCAATGAGTTCCCGCGCCCCGTGAAAAAAGAGCGGGCCGCGGCGCGAGATAGGCGGAAAGATAGAAAAAGAAAGAGAGGATATATATTCAACGGATGACGAGGTTATCCGAGTTATAAATTCTTTCGTGCCTGCCTCTTCGGGAACCAATTTCCTTCCTGTCGACCGCGGACAATTACTACTCCGACTTTGACTGGCCGTTCGACGGCTGGTAATCCTTGCCAAGGCGATGAAAGGAGTTAATAAAACAAGCACAATTCGTATTATTTGCTTGGTATGGGATTAACTAACGTCGCAGTGTAGGAAGCTGGAAATATTAGGAAGAACTTCTGGACAGGGTCGTATGTCTTTTGCAGATGGTAATCATCCTAGAGACGAAGGAAGTGCATAAAACGAGAAGAGTTCTAATCGTTGCCTGGTACGTGATCATTATCCAATTTTGGAGTCTAGCGGTGTCAGTTTTGAAGCTGGGAATAATAGGAAGAACTTCTGAACAGGCTCGTGTGTCTTTGACAGGTGGTAATCGTCCCAAAGGTGAAGCAGGAAGTGAATAAAACAAGGACAATTGTAATCATTGCCTGGTGCGTGATCGTTACCTAATTTTGCAGTCTAGGCGTGTCGATCTTGAAACGAGGAATATTAAGGAGGTCGTCTGGACAGGCTCGTGTGTGTCTTCGAAAGGCGGTGATCATACAAAAGGTGAAGGAGGAAGTGAATAAACCAAGTAAAATTCATATCATTACTTATTCAATGACCATTAACTAACGTTTGTCTA